AAATCCCGTTCAACTTAGATGAAATTTCAGAGAAGACGAACACAACAACCTAAGTTGCTTTCCCCTTACAAGTACTGCCCACGGTTTATTTAGGATTATTAACAAGATTTCAGATTTCCAGAATTCTTTCACTGACGAAAGAGGATCAACCACTTTTGAATGCCAAAGCAGCGTCCAGTTCAACTTTGGTGCATCAGTTTTCACCACTATGACGACAAAATACAAGACATGGAAAGTATACCGAGTACAGCATTTGAAATTATGCCAAAAGGCGGAAGTCGTATATTAAATGCAGTAACATTTCCTATCGCGTGTCTGATTTGAGGTTTAATGCAAAAGAAACAAACTATTTGATTGATGAGAATACGCGCGGACAAACTCAGGATGGGTAATAAGTAATGATCTTTGCGTAAAACTACTTAAAAATGATTCGAGGGGCAATATGGTTTAATCACTTCATTCTGACCCTCCTGGTATCTGATTCCTGCAGTGTTTCAATGGAACTGATTCCATAAAACGGACTTTTGAAATCTAACTCCCTTATCGTGTGCATTAACCGCGATGCCTCACCGTTTAAAGAATGCTGGTAGCTTACTAAAATACGACAAGAAGCACATTTGATCTGTCATGCAAATGAAAGAATATACCATAAAGCAATGTGTTAGGGACGTACCAAGTCTAAACATCTTAGCAGTAAGCATTGCGACTTCACGTCCACACGTGCACACGTCCGTTGGAAAACATTCGAATTCGCGCGCATTCACTTAGTTTCGCTGAAGGAAAGCGTTCAGCCAATTCTGTCATTTAAGAGGTACGTAGAAAAAAGAAAATACAGTGATGCATTGAAGTACCCAAAATGTGTTGCTAACGCGGACCCATTTGCTAGAACATTTGAGTTTGAGTACAGTTCACGCTAAATTTACATTGAAGGGTTTAATTACTACTAATAATTTGGGTATTACTTGAGTGGACCTAATTTATTAAGGTTCTCTTTAGTTCTTCTATTGCAGTAATGCTTTACTAAATCTCCACACAGTAAATATAACAATACTGTATTCTCCACCTACATTTCCCAATGTTTCCCATTACATATCTACATTACTGCAGCCGCAATCTCACTTTAGCCCAGTTTTTCTACATTCCACTCCTAGCAAAATCATGCTTGCGAACGAGTAACAATCTATCCTGCCCTATCCCGCGTCTATGAACCCGCTTACATGGTTGCATGCCTGTTGGATAAATTAAATCTAGGATTACGTTTTTCCAAGTTCACGATCTTGCAGATCGGTAGGGACTGTTTACTGTTTGGATCAGATTTAGTTCCTAAATACAGTTTGGCTAATCAGCACCCGTCTTCCGAAAACTGGATGCTGTCTAATCATCTGCCCAAATATGGCACTTTAAGAGCAAAACCAAAAGCCGGAAGCGGTAACTTCAATATTTGCAATTTTTCCACCAAAGTACTGGTTATACGCATTTGCGGCAAGCGTCCGGAATTTGTCTTTCCATGCATCTTTATTTGTATTGATGTCACCCAAAATTAGGATCATTCTGTTTGCTGCAATCATCTACTCCGTGATTTGCAAAGAGCCACAATTATGATGGCAGAAGTTTGGTAGTTGGAAAGGGAATGGAAGGACCGCGAACCCAAAGGCGCCAAAAACGATGCAATGATGTCGAATTGTCCCCGCTAGTTTCACTACTCTGCATTCATCTTTATCGTCCCTGCCCCACCCCAATTGTGGTTACGAGTCTTCAGTGAGGTTGCAATAAGCCACGGCAGTATGGGAGAAAAGACATTGGTAGCGTACCAAAAGGATTGGGGATTCTACTAGCACGGCCTGAGGACCATGC